CGGCTGGCGAAGGCAGGGCAGGGGCATGGGCGGAAAGGCGAACGGCCGGGGTCAGGCGTTTTGGGCAACCTCGAATAAAATGCAGCTTTCAAACCCAAAGTCGCCTGCAAGCGCGCAGGCGCCGGTAAGCGAATCTGCGCAGAAACGCGGGCGTAAACAGGTTTGCACACAAACCCTCGCTGCTGTTTCTCACGAGAGCGCCGATGCCGCTGTGCAAAAGCCGGAGCCCCACGCCGTGGGCAGCGCTGGCGTCGCGTGAAAGCTTTGCTCTTCCTCCACCAGCCACCCACGCGCAGCGGCCCCGAGCGCGCAGTGAGGCGCTGCCATTTGAGCAGCTGCCGTTTCCAGCGCTCCCTTCCCGGCAGCCAGCCTAGATTCTTAACTGCTTATTCAATTAGCAGTTTTTCTAATTAAAATTTTTTTACTTGACTAGTGGAACCAGTTCGGCCAAACATTTCTGTTCGCACGGAGACACAAGCCTGCCCGGCTCTCCCCACCAGCAGCCCGGCTCTGCAGGCGCTGGGTTCAGGCTCCCGGCTAAAGCAAGCCCTTCCCATTTAAACATAACTGGTTTCAATCCAGTTGGTCAAAAAAAAAAAACAACAAAGCAAGCTGTTTTCCCCACCCTGCTCTGCGTATTTTGAACCTTGATCTTCGCTCGTGAAGGGATCCGAGGCGAACCGCTCCTCTCCGGGCAGGCAGGGCGATCTATCCCTCCCGCCTCCGAGAGCCCACACCGCGGCGGAAGGCAGAGCGGGGCACGGGGACCATCCTCCCCGTCTCACCCAGGTGCAAGGCCCCAGCTACAGTTTGACACATCTGCCCTAAGATTACAACTCCTTCAACTCCAGGACTCGCCATCGCAGTCCGGGATGTCTCGGCACCATCAGCGCTGCGCCCTGCCACGCTGGCAGGGATGCCGGGGTCAAATCGTGCCGCCCGGCTCGCAGGCAGAAGAGGGGCTGGGTACGGGCGACGGGTGCCAGCCCCAGCCTGCCAGGCAGGGACACCAGGGAGCAGACAGCCCCCAGCCAGCCTCAGCTTCAGCTCAGAGTCGTGGGGTTTCATCTCGGAAAAGCCCGACGAGAAACGTGCAGCGCTGCAGCAGCGCAGCCCGGGCACTGCCAGCCCCCAAAACACCAACTGAGCCGAGCCCTGGCGCGGGGGGCACAGACCCGGGGGGTCCTCGCCCAGCCCTGCAGAGCGGGGGGAGACGAGGGGCGAACCGGGCTGTGGTTCTGTTTGGGCACAAAGCCCCGGCGCGGAGGCTGGCGAGGACTCGCTGCGCCTTTACGGCAAACCCTGTCGGGTTTAGGAGGGGGCATCACTGACACAGACCACCCCGAAGCCAGCGAGGCTGGGGCTCTGCAGAGCTCGGCAAAGGGACGGAGATCAGACAGCACGGCGGCTTTCTGCGCTCCAGGCTCAGCTCTCCTCACCCCACCAGGCATCTCTCGGCAGCGGGGCCCAGCCACCAACAGTTTTGCTGAAGTCCCAGCAGTGCTCTGCCCTGGGTGAGGTTTTGCTCCCAGGCTGGTCCCTGCCAAAACCCCAGGGAGCTGGACACGACGGCCCACCACGGCCAGCTTCCACCCCAAGGAGGTTTCACCTTGGGCCACCCACCCAACTCCACCGTGTTTCTGCCCGGCGTGACCGACGTCACAGCACCACTGCACGACCGACGTCACAGCACCACTGCACGACCGAAGGCACCGGCAGGACCGGCTCGTGCCGCAGACAGCGAGGGACGTGTCTTGGGGGTTTAACACTTAAACAGGCAAAAACCCAGTGAAGCATCCCCACTGCACAGCGCCGGGACGGCAACCTGCCCTCGCGCCTGCGGCACGGGGACTGTCTCTCCGTCTTCCGGCATCCCAGCGGACCGCGCAGCCAAAGACACCCCACCACGGCATCTCAGACCGTCGCCTGCCGTGAAACACCGATCAGCGCTCCCCTGGCTTCCAGCACCAGCGTCAGGTTACGGCAAGTTCCCCCCCTCCAGGTCTCGAGTTGCTCAGGTGGAAAATTCAGCACCGAGCAGCCCCAGCACGTTTAACCCACCCTTTGTCTGTAAGTGGATCCGGAGCACGGGAAGCACCCGGACTCGGCAAAATCCAGCCCTGACCCCTGCAAGCAGGGCTGGAAGTCAGGCTGAGCCCATCCGCCTCGAGCCGGACGGATGCGAGACCACGGGCGTTTCGGGCTTGCGGCGTTTCCTTTGCATGCCTTTGTATTAATTGGAAAGTAACAAATGCAAAATAAATTTATACCATTAGAACTGTACCATGGAATTACGTTACAGACACACAACCCCGGGAGGATTAAAAACCCACAGTGCGAACAGCACTTGAAACAAAAGCTCTCCTCCCTGCCGTTACGGTAGCTCTGCAGCGCGAAGCGACAACTGGAACGCAAAGACCTCAGCGGGAAGAATTATTCTTTCGAAACGAAGTGCCAGAGCTGCAGGCGACCGCGGGGGGAAGGACAGGCCCAGCCCAGGGGTGACTGTGACGCTGGGAGAGCCATCCCCCGCCACGCTCTCACACCAATGCAGACCTTTTTTCCGAAGCAGCCTTAATACCTGCTTCAGGTCTGACTCAGCTCATCCGGGAACGGCAGGGTTCCCCCGCAGAGGACCAGCAGCAAAGGATGGAGGCAGCTTTAAGCGCCTGGAAACAGGGAGGACCTGGCTCTGCGCTTCAAGGAAGATGCGGAGCAACAGGCGAAGGTCCAGGGCAGAAATAAAAACCCAGGGGTCTGGAGTAGGAGACCTACGGGAAACGCAGCAGAGGCCAAAAGGGTTCAGTGGAGAGGAGGGGGATGGGAGATGGGAAAATAACCCCAAAACTGCTCAGTGGAGGAAAGACTGATGGGGAAATCCCCCGGCCAGACACAGAGGGACGTGCAGAGAAGGGAACATGGTGCCACCACCTCCTCCGTAGAGCCAAGAGGCGGCTTCGGGCTCCAGTGGTGAAGAGGAGACGAAGCCTGGATGTGGGAGACCCTCACCAGAAAAACCCCGGACAGGAGCCCTGCAGCTTTTTGCAGGGATTGCTGGTTTCTACCATCCAGCACATACAAGCACACAGGTCCAGGAAGCTGGCTGGAGATATTTGGAGGCCAGGAAAGTTCCTGCGGCGCCTCGAGTACCCCCACTGCTGTGCAGCGCTCAAACAGCGTGCCCGGCCTCCGGATCAAACTACGTTTCAAACCTTGCCAAGAGAAACTCCTTGCAGCGCTGCTTTCACCCATCAATTATGCAAAGCTTCGGCGTCCATTACTCAAGCGGCCGCAGCCAGCGCGAGCAGGAGAGGCCCCGGCGCGCCCTGCT